TGTATCCCCGGATACCTGCGGTTAGGGGCTGCTGAACAGGCAGAAACATCGGAATCCTGAGACCAACTTTGCGCATTCCCGAACCATTGCGCTAACCCCGCGTCTCTCGAGAGCAATAAACGGTGCCATAATGCCGAGAGGCCTTCATTCTTAAGACGCTTGTCACTCCATCGGCAGCCCCATATCGCGGATGATGCACAGCGGCTCTTGCATCCAACCGCATCCAAGTTAAATAGACTTCCAGTGTAGTGCTACATAGCACAGTACCAAGGGTACCACAAGGGTACAAAGCTGTACGCTACAGTTACACTGCTGAACGCTTTGGATACCATCGTGGAGACCAGTTCTACTTCAGCTGTACCGTACCAGAAAAGTAAGACGGGTCAACATGTGTGACCCTCATACCATCCGCTTAATTTTCCGCCACCCCAGAGATTTTGCGAGGAGCTTCCTTGGCCGTCGCAATTGGGCGTGAAATGGCTTCTGACTCTCCTTTCCATAAGCTACCGCAGGGGAACCTCTACAGCAGACGTACAGTACAGACACTTCTTTAGCTGACCACAGAGATTGCAATTCAGCCGCAGACGCGATCTTAAGTGTACACATGTTAGAACCTCTCACTTTTCGCATCTGAGTTTCGAGACCCTCATGCCTTTTCATGTTTTCTGTAGTTGGCAGGCGGTCGATAGCAATTTCAGTATCTTCTCTAAGGAGCACGGAAGAGCAAGAAAGTTGCGTGCCAAGATCACGGGCGCCTTGTCAACATTATTGAAGTCGTGATCTTCTAGGTTCGCACGCGTTTACTACCATCTGCCTGTGTTGTGTGCTACGTTTGCGCCGTTCTGTTCATGCTTTTAAACACAGTAGGCATGTCGATCGTGAAAAGATGCACGAGGCGCATGAGTCTCAATGACGAACGACCGGCAGTGACACTCTGAAAGACGGAAGTCTTCGGAGCGGAGTGTGGTGGGTTCCCAAGACCTTGACCATTGAGTTGAATCCGCACAGTCTGCAGCAATCGAACTTGAATTACAAACATGCTGTATCTGTGTGCATGAGTGTCCCGTACTATGTGAGAGAAGTTGATGGAAGACTTAAAAGTGGAAACAGGATGAAGCCTTCCTCCCCCCCTCCCCCAAACTATAAGGCTTTCTAAACATTTAGTTCACCAGATGCTCCGATTTTGGGACGCGAGTGGAGCGATGTGAACATGTACTGTACGTGGTCAAGGGAGAGGACATTCCAGGTGGCCGCCTCCTTTCGACAGTATGGTTCACAGCCGAGTCTCCAGGGACTCTTAAACAACGGGCACTGGGGCATGCTTCTGATTTCGGTGGTGGCGCGAAAATCTATTTTCTAATCTGACAGAAGATGGAGGGAGGCATGATGGTCGCGTTGGCCTTCTTTCGGAGGCAACAGGCCAGCGTGGGTGACCTGTTGCTCCGCACGTGACCCACTGCTTCCTTCCCTTCCTTCCTCAGAGAAGGGTTTCCACGGCGAAGCCGGCGAAAACATATCTTCTTGGAGTGAAGGCTGCCCTGCATCCAGATGGGAAGCCGGGGCCAATCGCCGGTTTGTCACCTTCCAATTCAGGCCACGCTTACACCTCAATTCGAAACCGCCACAACACATTACACCGATCCCGAATGCGGCTCCCATCAACGGTCACCCACCTTTCCCAATCACCTTTCACCTGACGCCTGAATCCTCCTTCGGGACATTCGCCAGTTCCCCTTCTGTAAACCCCCGCTCGTTACGCCCACTTCCTGTGGGCCAGAACGGCGCAAATTACTCCCCAACTGTCGTCTCTGTTCGTGAGCCTATTCTACGCACCAGCCCCCTGTGCCCCTCCGCTATTTGTACATATCCACCTTGCTCACCGCTCCCCCTGTCCCCGCCATCGCACCCCTCCCCCTCCATCCGCTCCCCCCTCCCCCTCCCATCCCCCCCGTTCCCCCCTCCACCCCTTCCCGCGCCATGTGGACCCTGCCCCCCCTCGTGCGCGAGGCCGCCTTCTGGTTCTGCGTCGGCTCCTCTATCGCGCTATTCATGGTGGCACTGCTCGTGTCGCTGGTCGCCGCGGCGCCGGGCATCGAGAGCCCTGCGACGCTCGCGCGGGCCGTCGCCAAGGGCGTGGACTCCGTAATCGACACGGCCAAGTCAAGACCCGCTCCGCAGAGCGACTTGTCCCCCGCTTACCTACCGCCGCCACGGGAATACCGTTTTTGACAGTCCCGCGCGCCCCCGCCGCTCGATGCGCAGCTGGCGCGCGGGCTTGGAGCTCGGTCCGGCGGCCGCCGCCGCAGCTTCGGCGTATGACGCGTCTGACGGCGTCGGTTTTTGTTTGGGTGGCGCGCCCCCGAGGGGATGGGCCCGGTGAGGAGGCGTGCCGAGAATGAGGGAGAAGGCTCCCATGCTCGGTGGTTGCCAGAATAGCTTGTGTAATCTAGGCGACTGGTTCACTGACTTATTTATTGCCCCTAAATTAAATCTCATGTTTTTTCGGCTGTCGCTTGCTTGTTCGTGCTGCCCTGTGTGTGAAGGAGATAACTGGGGGGCGAACGCATCTGCGGAGTTCGCCATAGTCTGTCAAGGAAGGAGCTTCGACGCTACTGCTATCTCGTGGGCGAGCCCTTCTAGAGAGAATACTTTGGCTTGAAGTGCGTGAGCTCCAGAAGTTGGATATCGCCGATTTTCCATGGTGTAGTCCCCCCACGGGCGAGGAAGCAAATTGGTGCATCACAAGCACAACGCGTTTCACGCAGGGCAGCGGCTGGCGCCCTACTGCGCATGAATCCGTTTTTGTGCATGACCTGGCGGATTTCCTACGTTGCCGATGTTCTTTACAGATATGTAGTTTCTCCGTTATTTTTAACCCCATCTGTAAATAGCGTATGACTTGGCAACAGCTACGTAGAATGAATTCGCGATGGGATGCTCGGATGCAGTTGTTGTTTGCATGAGACGGTTCTGTGCCAATCAACGGTTGCCTGCGCTCCCGAATCGGCCAATGAGATGTTCCGCGTAAGTATTTTGTACAGTACAGGGTACTTGCTTCACCTGTTCGCTGCCTTACAGACCGAGGTCACTGGGTTAAATGCAATCATTTCTGTGGTATACAGTTTTCTGTACAGTATGTACGTATCGTACTCCATGCCGTAGGATTATCTTTGCGTATGTTTTTTCAAGTACACGTGTGTGAGTCATTTCTCGTTAGAGATATTAATTCCAGCCAATCATCTCACGGCAATTGTACCTCTGCTCCAGAGCCTGTATACCTTCCTCTTCAGTCTTGCGTTGTATTCCAGTACCTCCAGCGTTATTCTTGTTTCACGTTTATTGATAGAAACATATTCGGGGTTGAGCTCACGAGCGCAGTGGAAGACTGACTATGTTGTGATTCTTCTCTCGCTTTCAACAAATCTGTCCCCATCCCTGTGTCTTTTACCTCAACGCTCCCCTGCAGAGCGTTGGGCGCCCTAATCTTCCGCTGCGCCCCGGTGTAACCCTCGAAGTAGGGACTTCAGCAACGCTGCCGATTCGGGGGCAGACGATCAACCTTGCTTTCGTGCCGTCACCCCCCTCACCTACTTTTGCTCGTGCTTACACTTACGCTCCTCTTGCTGTAATGTATCATGTGCCGAGCAACACTCCCTCTGTCCCAGCACGTCTGTATCTTTCACCATCGCTTCCTATGATACTGCAAAACTCGTGCTGTGCACTTGGTGAAGTTGCGTTCGTGGAATGCCTGTTTCCGCTTTGAACGAGTGCCATAAATGCTGTAACGATACTGCGTAGAGGAAGCAACTTCAACCCTACTTCTCGTTGGGAAACGCCAACTTTTTTGACACCTTCTTCGCCCGACGATGTGCACGGCATTGCCATAAACATACTGTGCAGTCGTTGCTTTTTTTTTGTAATTTGATCCCAAACTTCCAGCAAAATTGTACAAATTTGAATACGTCCACCACAGACCCCCGCTTAAGCCAACTCCGATTACCCTTTGGAAGCTGCGCTCTTTCAAAAGCAAAGGACCGGCTAGCAAATCGCCCTCACAAACCTACCCTGGTCCAACGTCTGAAAACGCCCGCAGCAATGTCCCGACGGAGCTCCAGAACGCAGCGATCCCCGAAAACCTCCTCTGCTGTCAGATCTGCCACCATGACCGACGACTCCCCCAACCACTATACAAGGGCAATCGAGTCCAGCGAGACTTTCCTCACCATTCTTTCTCTGCTTGCCGTCGCTCTGACCTTCACAACCTCGACATGCAGCGCGACCTTAACGAAGGTGTACACCATCCTGTTCATTGTTGTAATGTTTGCGATAACCGTCATCAGCGTCTTCTTGTGTATCGCCGGCGCAGTCAGTGCGTGCCACGGAGAAAAAAAACTCTGGCTGACTCTCATCGCAATCGGCTGGGTGCTCTTTGCCGCGCTGGCGAGCGTGGTAGGGGGCTTCGCCATCTCCGAATTCAACAGCATTATGCTTGCTTCGTGCAGACAGTGTCCAGAAGGCTTCAGCGGAAGCTTTGAAAAGGTCGATATCGCCACGGTTTGTGCGCAGTATCTGTGACACCGCCTGCAATCGCGGCAAAGTCCACGGACACCTTGCCGAATTTTTTCAGCTATGAAAAGTTTCACGGTGTCCGTATTCATGTGCATGCAGTTGCCATTGATGGGAAGATCGCCAAAGGCAGTCGACGATGGAAAAAAAACTCACTTTTCGCCACAGTAGAGCAGCTTGTGACGAACCGCTGCACTACACATTGGCGAATAAGTAGTACAGAGGGTAAGTTACTGCAATGCGCAAGCAAGCGGGGCAGCTTTGGACGGCAGGTGGACTTGCGTACTTTGAAAGTAACAAGGGAGAAACGCCGGGGAAGATGAACTTATGCAGACCACATTCTATGAGAAACACTGTGGTCTCAATGCGGCGTCTTGTCCAGAACTACGCCCCTCATGGGGGTATCGAAAAGGATGTACGGCATCGTCCACAGGCCTTTTCCAAGGCTTGTGCAACGCGTTCCATTCTGTATATTCGAGGGCTGCTCCCTCCGCCTAGTAGTCTCGAACGACCCCCCGCTCTCAGCGCGCACTGCTGGCATCCAACCTCACACTTGTCCTGCGCGAAAAAAGCCAATCGCCCAATCGCCGCTGTTATATGAGGACACGAATATACGATTTTACTTAATTTTAAAGCCGTGTCCCATGACTCCAAGGAGGCATCCTCGCGCAGTGATTGTGCACAGCCCCCATGCAAACTGATAACTAATCAGTCCGTCCATCCTCCCCGCATGGCCCCGTCGGACACACGAATCCTCCGGGGCACCCTTCTCTCGGTGCACGCGGCGCGGCGCTCCCCGTATGCCCCACCCGCCCGCACGCATCCAGAGCCGACTATATACAAACAATAAATGCCATGACGGCTTCCAGCCCCGGCATGGACGGTCCCCCTTCCCGGCGCGGCCGAGCAACCAACCCCGCAGCGCCTCACTCAACAATCCTGACCGGGTGCGCCTCGGTATTGTACACCCACTTCGTGAGTGGCAGCGTTTGCTGGTCCGGCGGCCTGTCGTCGAACAGCATGAAGAGATACTTGTACGTCTCTGCGATCGCGAACGAGTGCAGCTTCCCGTGGAGTGTGATTTCCTCCTTTGTCTGCGCGAGCAAGTTGTAGGTCGACGACAGGACGCCATCCGGCTGCCCGGGGACCTGTGCGTACGTCTTCATAGCCTTCCACATAGTCTCTCCCCACTTTTTGTACTTGTCGCCCGCCAGCGGGTCGATCTTGTCGAGGTAGTACAGCGCTTCGACGATCTCCGGGCGCAGGAGGTTGTGGTCTGCGCCGCGCATCGGGCGCGGGGTGTCACCTGAGAAGTCGGTGACCTCCGCGGCGAGGCCGTGGAACATGCCGCGGCTCATGGCGTAGCAGCTCTCCGCGAGGGCGCGCGCCAGCGGGAGGTAGTCGTCTGGGTTTTCGCCTTGCAGGCCACCGCCGAGGCCGTGGAGCGCGGCGTACGCGAGGGTGCCAGGGAGGAAGCAGGCCAGGTGCTCCATGGAGCGCTTGAACGAGAGGGTGTTGCCGCGGAGCATCTCGCCGACGTAGGTGTGGTTGTGCTCGGTGCGGAAGAGGAGGACGTGGGCGCGGGCGACGGCGGCCTGGAAGGCATCGCGGAGGTGGTGGTCCTTCTTGCCGAAGGCGACCCAGGTCTTGAGCTGCATCTCGTAGAACGAGTCGACCATGGCCGACATGGAGACGCGGGCGCCCTCGAAGACGCCGGTCTGCAGGTTGAAGCGGTCGGTGACGAGGAATTGTTGAGCGGGCATGGCGCGGATGAGGCTGTCGGTGCAGCGGTCGACGGCGCGGGCGTACTTGGGGTCGCCGGTGATCTGCGAGAGGGTGCGGAACTCGAGCTGCAGCGTGCCGGCCTCGGCGGGGTTGGAGTGGAGGGTGTCGAGGGCGTGTTCGTCGGACATGGCGAGGCGGGCGCGGCCGATGAAGGCGGCCGGCGGCGGGCAGCCTGTGGCCGTGAGGTTGAAGGAGAGGAGGAGGTAGTCGGCCAGCTCGACGGACTTGCGTCGCCAGAGGAGGTCGCCCGTGAGCTGGTAGGCGGAGTTCATGCCGGCGGTGGCGCGGATGACGATCTCGAAGGTGGAGACGCGGGTGGAGACGGCGTCGAAGGAGAGGTGGCGGTCGGCCCAGTCGCGCGACTGGCGGTACTCGTCGCGCAGGTCCATGAGGAGGAGGGTGTCCAGGCTGTCGAGGAGGGTGAGGCCGATGTTGAACCAGTCCTCGCAGCGGCGGGTTGTGGGGACGATCTCATCTTTGCCCAGGCAGTGGCGGAGGTAGAGGCGGTAGGTGGCGGCGGTGGCCTGGCGCACGTCCTGCTGGAGCGGGGTGAGGCCGAAGAGCGGCGGGGGTGCGAGGGAGAGGGGGCGGAGAGGGGAGGTGGAGAGGTAGACGGTGGCGACGGTGAAGAGGAGGAGGGCCAGGAGGAGGGGGAGGACACGCTTCAGAGGGGCGGTCTTGCGGAGGCGGAGGAGATTTGTGCGGAGGATGGGGAGGGGGGAAGTGGCATGGTGGGACATAGCTGTTTTCGGAGTGGAGATTGGAGGGGGGAGGGGGGGGGGGGGGGGGGATGGAGAGGAAGGAGGACCGGGACCGGTATAGGAGACCTGTACGTACGGTACCAAGGGTACAGCAAATGTCAGCAGGGGCACGACGGTAGATACCGTAGAGGGGGTGAGCGATCCGCGGACGCGTGGCGGGGATGGGCAATACAGTAGCCTTGGGGACAGGCGACGTGCCCCCTGGGTAGCTGCGGACGGGAGGCGGGATGGGCAATAAAGTTTATTGAATAAACAGCACAGCACCGAGGCGGGCGGTAGCGGTGCTGCAAGGATGTGCTGCACGGTAAGCCCTGTGATGTAAGCTCTGTGATGTAAGCTCTGTGATGTAATGTCCCGCGGTATCCGCCACGTGCCTCCGGCGTGGCGATTCGCAATATGGCAATACAAGGCGGGAGCGGAATAATAATCACAAAACACTCCCCCTGCCCGCCGCTCCTTCTCACGTACCGGTACAGTAATCCACCCTGTCCGCTACAGTATTATACGCCCCCACAGCAATGTGCCCCACACGCAGCCCCATGCACCCGTTCCCCCAGCCGCACCTTTATTTTTATTATTATTATTGGAAATGCTTTTACTCCCGTTCAACCAATCCATTCATGCCAAATGCCCGGGTGCTCAGGTGCTGCCACCGCCAACTCTTCGTTAGGAACGGCCCTCACTTCCTCTCTCACTTCTTCGCCGCCGGTCCGCCCTTCCCGCCGTCGGCCCCGTCATCACCACCGGCCGCCTTCTTCCGGGGGCGGCCGCGCCGCCTTGCGCGGGGCTTAGCCTCTGCGTCTGCGATAACCTGCTTCTGGCGCGCGACGCCGAGGGTATCGGCGGCCTGCTCCCTGTCTCCGCTGCGCAGGACGTCGTCGACGGCGCCCTGCTTACGCCTCTTCTCGTACTCCGCCCTCTTGGCCGACGCCTGCGCCCTGGTGAGCCGCGCCTGCAGGAGCTCGCGCTTGGCGCCCATCTCGCGCTCGACCCGGTCGAGCGGGTCGAGGTCGTCGGCCCCGAGGTCGCTCTTGGCGAGCTCGGCCTGCGCGATCTCCGCCCGCAGCGTCAGCTGCTCGGCGCTCACCGTGCTCTTGATCTCCTCCAGCGACAGCTCCGACTCGTCCGCGTCCCCGCCGCCCGCGTCCTCGCTGCCCATCGCGCTCTCCAGCTTGCGCTGCGTCTCGTGCAGCTCGGCGTCGCGCGCCGCTAGCAGCGACGCCAGCAGGTCGGTCTCTAGAGATACCTCCTCCACGATCTTGTCCCGCGTTCGAAGCTCCTGCTGCATGTCGCTCACCGTCCCTTCCATCCCGCGCAGCTCTTCCTTGAGCTTCTCCTTCTCCGCAGACAGTGCCACTACCGCTGCGCTCGCCTCCTCTACGGCCTGCTTCTCCTCCTTCCGCTTCTCCAGTTCCCGCTCCGCCAGCTCCAGCTCCTGACGCGTTTCCTCGAGCGCCAGCGCCGCCGCCGACACCTGCTCCGACATCGTCTGCGCAGTCTTCTCCATCTCCCTAGCCTCGCTCTCCAGCCGCTCGCTCTCCCTCCTCACACTCCCCAACTCTTTTTCCTTCCGCCCCACTTCCCCCACCAGCTCGCTCTCCCGCCTCTCGTGCTCCCTCAACGCCGTCTCCCCCCCGCCCCTCACCTCCTCCAGCATCGCCCTCAACTCACCAACTTCATTCTCCTTCCTCCTCCTCTCCTCCTCTACCCTCTCCCTCTCCCCCTCCCTCTCCCCTACTTGCGGCCCTCTTTCACGGCACTTTGGCGACGTTTCATGGGTCTGACGCTCTGAACTGATCGGGACGGAAACTCAGCGCTGGCCTTTCGAAACAGGCTCCTGTCGAAGCGTCACCTTTCCGACAGCATGGACGGACTGTGAATCTGTTTGTGGCATTTCTATTTACAGCCGTGCGGGGGACTCTTTTTGAAGCTTGTTTCTTGGGGTTTGTGGCGCTCGACAAGTGGCATAAAATACTAAACCGGAGAGGACTTTCATCT